GGGGCTATAGGAGACCTTGTTTCAAAAAGACACAAAAAATAAAAATAAAAAAAGAATATACAAGTTGAAATGTCCTGAATTGAGGCTGGAGAGATAGAGGTGGCTCAAAGGGTAAGAGCACTTGCCATACAAGCATAAGGATCTGAGTTCGAATCTCCAGTGCCCACATAAAAAGCTGGGTGTGGCCACACACATCTGTAACCCAGAGTTGTTGGGGGGCAGAGACAGGAGGATTATTGGGAATTGCTGGCCAGCCAGTCTAGCCTAAATAAATAAATAATGAACAGCAGGCTCAGTGAGAGACCCTGTCTCAACGGAATAAGACAGAGTGATAGAACAGGACCCCTGAAGTGGTCCTCTGGCCTTCACATGTGTGTGCATGAGTGTGTGTACTTTCACATGCACATGCAATACACTACACACATATACACACAAAAACAATTGTCATGAAAACACTTCTGGTCTCAGTGGAATGTGGATAGGCTAGTTATCTGCTGCTACAATGGAAAACACTTCTCTGCCCGCTTGTCACACGCCATTCTGGGTAAGCTTTATCAGCATTTTTCTTTTCTTCCATAAAACAGAAGGAATCATGTTGTCAACACTTTTATAACATTCATCCCCAAATCCCTCTGCTTGTCCCATGGGCTAATGGGGGCTAGGACCTCATTACTCAACCAGGTAGAACTTTCTAATGGATATATGAAGTTCTGGGTATTGCTGGGCAGGATTGATGACAGAAACTCTAAGTTTCCCAGGCCTGGGCTCCAGGAATTGACTGCCAGCCTCTCCTCTGGCCACAGTATGGCCCCCCAAGCCTTGGGCTATTGCACCTGGAGCTGATGGCACCCTGAGGCCCCCTTAGAGATTTACCCTTCTGGCCCATGCCAGAGAAAAGAAGCGCCTAACAAACCATATGAATAGCTGCCTGCTGGTTCTGTCAGAGAAAGGATGCTTCTGGAAGGAGTGAAGTGGCCAGGCAAGCAGGAGGTGAGAACAGGGCTGTTTGCTTCTAGAAGCCTGGCCAAGCTGGCCAGCTGGATGCCATCCTCAGTAGAGTCAAGGTAAGACACTGAACAGTGAGGAAGAGGCAAAGTAGAGTCAGAGGGTCCATTCCATCCTGAGGAGAGGAAATAGGAGGAAGAATACCTCTCCTGAGGAGAGGCAGATGGGCTGCTTACTATAAGCAAACCTAAATGAACAACTGGAATCTTTGGAGAACGAAAATTCCAGAAGTCCTGGAATGCAGTGGGTGTGGGGAGACTCTATGCTATGAGTTCCCTGTGACCCTGACTTTAGGAAGCATGGGCACAGCCAGCACCCCCAAGGAACATGACAGCAGCTAAGGAGCACTTGTTCTTGTCACTCTGCACCTCTTTTCCAGAAGAGGGACTGAAAGATGGGCAAGGACCAGCCCATCATGGTGCCCCTCAAAGCAAACTGATTCATTGCTATAGGGCGAGCAGTCACTTTGGTAGATGTGTTTTTACTGTAATGAACCATTGAAACTAAACAACCTGCGATTTGAAGGATACAGTTGCTTAGGAAGAGGCTGTTTTCATAGTGATTTCAAGCTTAGACATAAAATTGCATATATTATTTGTTTTATTTGTGTGTGTGTGTGTCACATGAGTGCAGGTTCCTTTGAAGGCCAAAAGAAAGTGCTGCATCCCCTGGAGCTGGAGTTATACTTAGTTGTTAGCTCCTAACTTGTGTGCTAGTATTTGAACTTGGGTTCTCTGAAAGAATAGCAAGTGCTCTTAACCACTGAGCCATCTCTCTAGCTCCAGTATTTGTTTTTGTTGGTTTTTAAAATACATTTTAATTTATGTGTGTTGGGGGGAGTACACACATGCTATGGTACACATTTGCAGTTCACAGGTCACCGTATGGATCCCAGGGATCAAACTCGGGTCATCAGACTTGGTGGCAAGTGCCTCTCTACCTGCTGAGCCATCTCGCTGTCCCCTTTCCTTTCCTTCCCTTCCCTTCCCTTCCCTTCCCTTCCCTTCCCTTCCCTTCCCTTTCCTAAAAGTATATATATGGGAAACCAAATACTGAATGGTAGTGATGATGGTGATTACGGCAAACTGTTATTGACACTTGTAACATTCAAGCCCTTTGCAAGTATTAAACCACTTATTCTCTTGGTAGCTCTATGTGGTTGGGTAGTATGACTGTTACCTCATTTTACATGGGAGGCCTGTGGGAAGCATAGGCCAGGGTTAGGGGCCACAGTTCACCCAGGTACAAGACCACAGCACACTTGCTCCTGCAGGTGGTCCTGCTGAGGTGGGGAGGGAGTCACTGTGTAGTACTTGCTCCCATGCAGAACCCTAGGAGACCCCACACAGCACAGCATCATGCTTCTCTATGGGAGCAAGGACAAGCCCCACAGCCCGGGGAGCAGCTTGCCTTCTACATCTCTCGGTATTCATTCTGCACTTTTCCTGTGAGGGCCTTAGGCAGAGTCTTGACTATCTGGATTTCAGATAATCTGGCCTTCCTGTCTGCTTACTAAACTCTTCCAGATGACTGGGGCTGGATTTAAGAGGCTTCACCAGACAGGTTGTCTCTGAGTGAGAGGAGAGGAAGGAAACATCTGAAGAGAAGAGGAAGGGAGATGGCCGCAAAAGCTCACAGGACCAGTGTGATGGAGGGAGGACTTCCAGGATACAGAAACTACATCCTTAGAATACCTCAGCTGAGTGTAAAGATAGCTGTGCTTCTTACTTTTCACATGGTAATTCGAATCTTCAGGTACATCCTCCAGCTCAGTGTAGTGTTTAAGCACAAGAACTTTGTCATTCCAGGTTCACCTCTTCCTCATCAGGCAGCCTTGCCCAAGTCACCTAGTTTCAGTTTCCCAGTCTGTACAGCAGGGATGATAAAAGTGTCTTCTCTGGTAAGATACCACGAAGATCAGATGTGAGTTTTAGCACAGTGTAGGATACAATTAAGTACTCAGTCTTGGCAGTTACTGCTCCTAGTATCCCCAGAATGGTGCGGGCCACTACCTCTGTGAGGAGGCTCCACGTGCTGCTCAGATTTGTAAGTCCAGGGTGACCTTTCAAAATGAAGTGAAATTTTGGATATGTTTATTTTGATATAGATAATGTCCTGGGTTTCCTGCCCTCCCCCGTGGGGGGGCTCCTTAGGCCACGTATACATGGAGCAACCTCTTTCCTACAGTTGCTAAGAAGGAAATGATGAGCAGCAAGTTCCTTTACCAAGAGTCCATCTTGAATCTGTAACCTTCTGACAGACTCTCCAGGCACCCAGATTCTGTAAGAATAGCTGGGCCCATAATTCCCATTTCCTCCAAGGAAGTTTACTGACCCAGACTTCCAGACTCCATGACACCAGGGGACTGTGGATGACACACGCTCCACTGTATAGTGGGTGCACCTTGATAAATGTGCCCTTCCCCCCTCTTCCCTCACATCTTCTAAGTCACACATTAATAAGATTCCTTCCTCCCATCTTGGCAGTCCAAGACCCCCCTCCTCTCCTGTACCCTGGAATCAGAGGCAGCCTGACTGCAAGCAGTACTAATGGACTACTCACCAACCACGTGGCATGGAATCTCCTCCTTCCTCTAAATCTGTAAGAAAGGACTCCCACTCTCCATGTGGGCCTGAACCCTCCTCAGAGTCCCCTCCACACTATCTATGGCATCTTTCTTTCCTTGGTGTTACTATCTCTCCCAATAAGTGTCCTACCCCAGAGGACAACCTTCCCCAGTGCCCCTCTTGAGTCCCAAACTCTAAACCTTTCAGTCACCAAGATGATAATATCTAAAAGGTGAATGTGGGTGTGTACTAATTTAGTGGGGCATTTAAACCAAAGTTTAAAAAGTGATCAAGAGAGGGGTTCAAAGTTGAATTCATAATCCCTCCCTCAAAACTCGCTCCCTTAAATGTTCCCTCTAGGTTTGAGGGTGGTCAGAAAAATGATACCCCCTTTTTCATTTCTAGTCAAGCCACAGCTGGAGTCCGGCTGGCCAAAATGATTTTCTGCCACATTGAACAGAACTGCCTCCCAGACTGTAAGCTTCTACCTAGGGTGTGGAACAGACCCCTCTAAGCTCTCTGCCTGGCCTAGAGAGCAAACTGATCATATCTGACTACAGCAAATGGGTGACTAGAAGACCCAGAAGGTTCTGAGCCACATCAGCCCAGTCTCTCCTCTAACAAATCAATCATATGAGGTGCCAAGGAGAGAGTTTCAGGGTGTTACTTTAATAAGCGTTCCCTCCATGGGGAAACATTAGGAGTGGGGACTGAGGTTTCCTCTAATCCCATCCACATAGTTGCCCAAGTCGCAAACCTTAGTCATCTTAGATACTTGGGTTCCCTCACTCCCAATTCTGCTTATCATTGAGTGCTGTCAATTTCTCTTCCTAAATATGTTTTGAATCTGCTTTCTTGGGTCTATTATACGGCTGCTGTTGTTAGTCCAATGCAATATTATTCTCTTCCCTGGACTCCTCTTAACCCTCCCCTACCTTCAGGCTCCAACACCTCTTTACAGCATTGTTGTCACTACTGTTAACAGTTCCTTGTTGATCTTTGATAAAAGTTAAAATCTTCACTGTGGGACCAGTATTTTGTAGCTCTTGCCCAAGCCTGGTTGGACACACAACATGAAGTGCTTTCGCCTCTTCCCAGAATCCATCTTCCTTCCTTCCCTCCCCCCTCCCTCCTCTCTCCTTCCTCTTACATACTCTAACTCATGTTTCATATCTTAAACATCAACTTTCCAAGGAAGCTCCCAGACCCCATCCGGATGGTCCCCTTACTAAAGTGTTCAAGAATTTTTTGAGTTTTTTCTTCACAGCATTCTCACAGTTAGTCCTGAGATGATTGTATGATTCTTTAACTAATGCCTATTTCTTATGCCATACTCTGAGCCCTGTGACGCTGGTGTTTTCTTATCTCTGGGCGCCTGGCATACTACCTGATACGTAGCAGTAGGTACCTGGTAAGTATTTGTCACTTGTGCTCGCTTCAGCAGCACATATGCTTTGGAGCAATACGGAGAAGATTAGTATGGTCCCTGCACAAGGATGACATGCAACCTTGTGAAACCCTCCTTCCATACTTCCATACATTACACACACACACACACACACACACACATACACACACACACACACACACCTATCTTTTTGAGACAAGGTTTTCCTGTAGCTCCAGCTGGCCTTGAACTCAGATACCTGCCTACTTCTGCTTCCTGAGTGCTGGATTAAAGGCGTGAGCCACCATGCCTGGCTAGAAACCTTCCATATTTTTTAAATGGACTCAATGTGTTTTATGTGTGTGTGAGTATATTTACAAATGTATGTATTTTTACACATGTAACAATAATAAAGAGGACAAGAGATTGAGAGGGAGTGGGGAGAACATGGGAGGAGTTGGTAGGGGACTGGAAGGGATGGAAATTATGTAAAGACAATACTCATGTATGAGATTCTCAAATATAAATAAAAATTTAAAAAATTCACTCAGTTAAATGAGGGAGAAAAGTGGTTAGAGAATAAAGTGTGGGTCCAAACCACAATAAAGTGTGGTTTGAATACCAACTGCCCCTTTTCTGGGAAAGTGGGATGGACTGTGGAGGTGTGGGATAGACTGCTAATGTGTGAGTGGGGTGTGTAGGGACCAGGGTTGCTCTGGATTCAATGCAGATGCTAACAGCTCCACTGGCTGTGTGCGGAAAACATCATGAGGCATAAATGGGGTGGAGCAAAGGAGGGGATCCCCAGCCAAACATTTCTCAGATGGGACACACACAGGATTGGTACGACTGGAGAACAGGAAAATGCAATTCTTGGCACCAGATGTACCAAAAATCACCAATACTTCTCTGGGATGTAGATTCTCCCAAGTTGCTGTCTCCACAAGAACAGACATTATTGTGGGGGTTCATAACACTCAGATCCCCATTTTAGTTCTGGGGACTCCTCATGGCAGGGCTGTTTTCACCTGTTTCCCAAGTCTGTCTCTCTAACCTTCTTGGTTGATCCTAATGCTACCTGATTCTCTTGAATAAATTCCTTCCTTCTCTGCTTATGTCAGCCAGGATTGGTTTCTGCTGTTCCCAGCCAAAGACTGTGACTGGCTTAGTCTGGAGCCAGCAGGGCAGTGATGCTTGGCTTCTCCCTGTGACCAAGCAGGTGTGTATCAAGCACGTGAGTACCAGGCATAGGGGTGCCAACCATGCAAGCACTCAGGAGTGGAGAGGAGCCCTCTGGAAACCTGGAAGTTAAAGGCTCCTTTGGAATGTGAAGGGAAGGTTACTATTTTGAGCCAGGCAATCTTTGGATGGAACTGTAGTTTGTAAATATGTGTGGGCAGAGTCTCCATTAAATAAACCATCCTGTTGTTCAGATAGGGCGGATCACCTAATCTACCCCAAACTGAGGGCCTGGGAAATGACCGTCACATGGAGGCCCAAGAACCAAGTTGGCTCATGGCCTTGTGCCTCCTGGAAATTGTGCTTTCCTGAAGAATCTTTACTCTGGTAATTTGTTGGAGATCTTTCCCATATCTAGGAAAGCCTCACACTAAAGCATAAAGTATGGGAGGAAACCACTGGAGTCAGAGTGC